TAGAGATTTTGTTAGAATGAGTAAGATAAATAGATGAGTTTTTTAAAAGTGCAATGAAACAAAGCTTTTGAGGGTGAATACAGGATATAGCAATAAGAGTGAATTTAAGATAGGAATGTTTTACCATTTTCATGAGTGCTTTTACAGAGCCTTCTATTATTTTTACCAAGGCAGTATGCTAAAACTTCAATATCTTATTTTGTTCAACTTGGAATACGTTGTGACTAAATAGAAAGAAAAGTCACCTTAACATGCAGAGCAACTTCACATCTTAAGAAATTAGCTGGTTTGACTTCAAAAAATTTGATACACATGTGCTATGTTGCATGACAGTAGCATTACAATGTTAAGCTTTATAAATCAAGAGAACACAGTACACCAAGTTTACTGTTGGTCGTTGTTTGATTTAAATAAACGTGTTTCTGACATCCAATTACATACTCATTAGCTACATGTGTATAAAAAACCAGAAAATTAGTTGATTTGAATATAAAAAGGGAGTTAAGGAAGTGCTTTAATAGGCTATTCTTTCAATTGATATTGCAAAACCCATCATACATCTGCTATGCTGAGGTTACAAGTATGAGACAACTTGTTTGTTGTTATAAGTCAGCCTGCTTTCACCAACATAGTTTCCTTACGTTGTGTTTGCACAGACAACAGCTCCCTAAAACGTTGTACAAGACTACTTAAAAACATAAGTAACTGAAAACATAACTTAAAAACAAATTTAATAGAATTAAACTTAAATTGGAAAACAGATAGACATAGAAGTACTGTCCCTCTTAAATACGTAAACAGTGGTCTATTGAAGGAACGTGAAATTTCTTCTCAGACACACTGTCCCTACACTGCTTTGTTAAAGTCCGGTCCTCTGCCCTCCTCTTAAAGCAACCAATTGTTTGCAAAAGACACTGCAAGCACAGAGCCCATCTTCATTCAGTAACCAAACGTCCATTACGAGGAAAGACAAGGCCTGAAATGAAGTAAGTCTACATCAAATTGACTTCAAAGCAAGCATAAGCACAGGTTGATTGCACAAAACAACCAGCTCAAATTGTTCTCTCTGAATAACCTGGCATGCAGTACCAGGAGTGAGAAGCTATGCAGACATATACGCCCTACAGTCTACTCAACACATCTGTACTGCTATCTCCAGCCCTATCCTGCTTCCTGAATTTGCACCCAGTGTACCTCAGTATGATCTAATTGACAGGGGTCAGTCCTCAAGTCCCTCTCCAAGAAAAACTGCTTCTTACAACAGGCTCCTTCTACCAGCCCACATTTCTTGCCGTAACACAGTTCAGCTTGTTTAGCAGCTGTCATTCTGTAATTCTGTTAAGTTTATGAGATTATCTCCCCATTCTTTGAATTATATTACTACTCGAAGGTATATTGTCAGGGCTCTTGAATACCTCTCTCCTGCAGCACAAATCATATTCCTGGAAGTAACATTCCCATAGCAATTGGTTTGTTTGGGTTTTGTTTTTTTTTTTTTTTCATACAGCTAACTACTCTTGACATCCAATTCACATTATACTTTCCCCATTTGTATTAGAGGTATTAACAGCATAGCAATAGTCAAAAAGTGCCAAATGGAAATAAGGCATATTATTTGCACCTGTTTATCACACAAACAATAAAAAAGCCTGCAGGACACAGAAGTGAAGAATGTGAGGAGGGCTTAAGGGAAGACTCAGAACAAGGGCAATTATAAGTTACAAGAGTGAGTTTATTAGTTCAGATCTACGAAATATTAAAAACTATTAAGGGCACTTTTGAGCCATGGAAATAGGCTCTTTATTAATAAATAAAAGTAACCTAAAAGAGTTATTTCTTTCATATTCTGAGAATTCTGGTGTTTTTCTTTTTTCTTCCTTTCCTCATTCCATGTTCTCAGATCGAACCTTGCTCTAACAACTATTTGTTTACGCAAGCATCTTCTGCTGGATAAAACCGTACACAGAAACTTAAAGAATGGCTCTGTCATACATATTTGCGTAATATTTACCAGCTGATTCATATCCCAGTCTACACCTGGCATATTCTTTTGCTCAGTATATAGATTCTATCAATCCCATCGAACTACCTATTTCTACAACTTCATAATATCCAATCTATGGACCAAACCCAACTCCAAAATCTAGCAGTGGATTTCAACAGCTAAAATAATCTTCACTTCCAAATTTATATGGATAACCCATCTTTTTGAGAGTTTTCTTGTGAAAGAAAACGCTCTTTCACAACCTTTAGTTGACATACAAGACTAAAACTGCATTTTACATTGTCTTTATAGGATAATGATTTTCAAGTGTGACTGAAAGGATTTCAAGGTCATTTGTATTACTTTGTGTTCTTAGTTTCTGTTGATTTCTCACATTATGATAAGAGAAAAGCCTTGAGTTGAAAACACGCATGACTGTTTCAGTTCCACAGATTAATTTACTTTTATACTGCTTTGAAGGGACTCATCACATAACCTCTTTCAACAGCTTGCAAAACTATATCAAGAAAATGAAGTCAACAGAAATACTTTACTTCTGCTACTATTACTTCCAAGCAAAACCAACACTACTACATGCAGAAATGAACAGAAACATTTACTAAAATGTATCCAAGACAACTACTCACTAATTCAATTCATCATGACAAACAAAACCCAACTATCTACGGATCTAATATAAAACAAAGACACACACATACCACATCTCACACACAGAAAGAGCATGGGCCAGCTGCAACGGAACAGCTACCTGTCCCTTCATTACTCACTACAAATCTTAGCTTGGAGCCTGTTACCTAGTTCTACCTTCGTCCACTTTCAGTATTTCTCTGAAGAAAATAAAAAAAAAACCACCCACCACAACACACACACAACAAAAACCAAACCAAAAAGGAGCGAAACAATCAAACCACTACACACAACCCACAACAGTTTCCCAGGCTACTACTGTTATTATAAATCAAGAATCCATGTGTATATATGCATACACACACTTTCCCTAATATATACATATAATGTAGTCTGAGCACTACCATCACATATGATGTACTACTCATAGCTTCATGATCATCAAGAGTTTGTGTGTCATCAACAAAGAATTCATTTCTTTCACTAAGAAAAATCCTGTATTATTTATAGATACATTAGGAAATGCTACTGGATATATCCCAAAGTGAAAATATTTGTATAAAAAAATCAAAATTGGACTTAAAATTAATTCACACAACTTCAAATTCTGTATTCATTACAGTTTGTACAACAAGAGAAAGAACAAGCTTCCTATAAACAAATATAGAAAAGGCATTATTTAGTGATAGCTACAAGAAAGAATAGAGAGCTTATTAGATATATTTTTCACACTTTTACGATATCAAGAGCAATATAGAATCATAGAATAGAATCATAGAATCATTATGGTTGGAAGAGACCTCAAAGATCATCAAGTCCAACCGTAATATACTCAAATTTCGCATTCATAGAATCATAGAATGGTTTGGTTGAAAGGGATCTTAAGGATCATCTAGTTCCAACCCCCCTGCCATGGTATATACTATATATTCCATATTCCTATGTATATTTTTGTGCTAGATTTAGAAAGTTCAATAGGAAAAAAACAAACACAGTTTGTATAAATAACATTGACTAAACTCTCACCACAGTCAGGGTGACAGCATTCTAAGAGTGGAAATTTTCTTTCACTCCCTTCAAAAAATATTTTACTTAAATCCCTAGATTTGATCCACTGGGAAAGTATTCCCATCTAATTAGACAACAAAAGTGAAATTGATAGTTTTAAATTAAACTTTGTCTTCCCTCTGACTTTATAACCTTATATAACAAAGATTTCTACCATCACAACATTCCTAAAAGTTGTATCAGTTTTCATGTCAGTCACTATCACATAGCTCATAGCATCTGTTAGATCAAAAGGAGAAAAAGTGGTATTTGACTATCATTTTCAAGTTTATATAAAATATGTGATTTGTTTTAATACCACAGAGTTTGTTCACAGTTGCATTTTATAAGAATGTCCTATAACTCACTGAAGTGTTGAGTCTCATCTAGTTAGCACTATTTCCATAGTTCTACTTTGCTAGCATCAATCTCTCAATAAGACACAGCACAGAAAGAAAAAAGAAATCCACAACTTGGACTGTATTATATTGAAGAAGTCTCATGACAACTACAGGGCAGGAAAGCATCAATTCAAGAAGTGCTAACATGCAGTTTCTATTTCCTTCCACAAGAGTTTCCTGTGGATATCTTACTGAATGGTCTAATTCAAAATCATTTTCTTTATTAATTATTTTGACATAAACTCCTACTTCTAAGTGACCAGCTAAGTTCTCCAAACACAGAGTACTATTTCTACTTGCTCCAGATTTTCACTGGGGATGCAAAGCCATTTGAATCTATGATACCCTCAGTACTTACATTTACTATTCAGCAGGTAAAATCCAGTGCACAAAGGGAACAGTCAAGTTATGACATCACATTTGTTATCATATTAACATGTTGTCAGCATTCACATGAGACACAGAACTACTGTATCCATCTGTGAACATGAAGAATGCTCACTGAGTAGACAAGCAGTAATACTTCCACATCTCATCATTTTTCACACTCACATTTCTAAGCATGAGAATCATTCTTATACTGCATGCTGTTCCGTTATCAGGCATTAACAGTAAACACAGCTAATTATAATTTGTTTTTTCTCCAGAGATTAGTCCAGTAGGAAGAAATAATGTGAGAAAGAAGAACAAGAAGCCATCTAATACCCTATGTATTAGTAGGATGTATGTAAATTGCTTTTGCTTATTACTAGCATGAATACTATAAGCATTCAATTTTATTGTCTTTCTTTTGCAAGATCCAATCTAAATGCTGAAAGGATTAGATACCAACCAAACCATCAGACAGAAAAATACATCAAACAAGAAAATTTTAAAGAATAATTTAGATTTAATTCTTAGTTCCTATAAGAAATACTCACCAAGATCTGTATTGGGCCCAGCAAGCAGTTGCTTAAATTTGTCTAATCGGGATGCTTCTCTTTCAGTTAATGCAGGAGTTACTGAGGTATTATAGTCTGCCATTCCACTCACCAAGGGAAGTGAGGAAGTTTGTGGAAGGGACTGTGATCTCTGCATGGAAGAATTTTCACTAGCATTATCTGAAGGGAAAAAGCAACATAATAGTTAGCCTCAGCTAGTGAGAAGGCTACTAGTAACTTGAATTTAATTTATAAATTTAAAATAGAATCCTGTCTTGGAGACCCAGATTTAGGAGGAGTATTCCTCTTCCAAGCAGCATTCCACAATTAAAACATGTCAATTAGAGATCATTCTAATAGCAACGCTAACTGATTTCTAAAATCTGTGCTACTGAAAGCTGTTTCTATCCCCCTTATCATTAAGAAAAAAAAAAGGACTGGAAAATCATTGCAACTGATTACTTTAAAGTTTATACCTAAAACTTAGACCAGGTCACATGAGGATGAACTTGCCAGTTCACACGCATGGTTTCCTCCAGTTTTTCAATACATTTTATACAGTAGCATTTTAATAACAATTTTTCACAACAGGAGGAATACTATTAATTGCATACATCTTGGTGCAGTTAACCATTAAAATACATTCAATAGTGCAACTTCCTTCCAAAACTGAGGATGTATTAAGGCTGAAAACAAGAAAATTTAATTATTCTTCCCTTATACATGTATTTCACACACACATGCTTTACAGTTTAGTATGGCATACAGTATCTTCCTTAAATAAGTCAATATTGATTAATAATATATTCCTATGGTATTAAGAAAAGGTTGGGAACAGGTTAATGTCTTAAAGGGAAAATATTACAACTCTCCTCATTTGATTTTCAACATCTTTTTCATTGCTTAACATACCTGATGAACTCGATGTATGACCTTCACTGACTGATTTAACAAGCCTATTATCACCACAAGCAACTGAAGTCAGCTCTGCAGATTCTACTTGTTTTTCTTCCTGTAGATGTTCTTCCTGAAATTTATGCTGTTCTTGTAGCTTGCTGTGATTCTGAATTACTTTGTGAGCTGTTTCCATGACCACTTCTGTATTTAAGTTTTCAGCAGCTATTGCTAAGAGTTCATCATCATCATCCCCAAGATCCCAAGCATCACTTGTGTTACTTTCAAATTCTTGGAAGGTGCTGACTTTCTTTAGTTTCACTGGAGTTGTAGGTGGCTTTGAACCTGGTTTTATCAAGCTGTTCAAAAACAAATAAACAATATTTAGAGAATCAGTAACAGAGTAAGCAAAACACTATGGATTGGGCCAAAGAACAAATGTTCATGCTTGACATTATATAGGTAGCAAATATTTATCTCCCTCCACTCATGTTACTGCTACATCCACCCACAATAGCATACAGCTCAGTATGTCTGAGAACAAGGGCAGGTAAACATTGACTCTTCTTGGCTTTGAATAGAAGCTGAACAAATCCTTCTTCCCCTTGTCTTAAAAAAAAAAGAAAAACACACCCTAAAGAAACAAACAAACAAGAAAAAAGACAAACCTCAAAGTCAAATAAAAGGAATACTACTGAATAGTTTACAAGATAGACAGGACATATTGCACTTCTCTCACTTGATGAACTTCTGTAGAGATTTCAGGTCTTTCAATGTAATTGCTGCATAACAACACAGGAGTAGTAATCAAGTCATCAGGTCTACTCCTAAGTCATCATAAGCAATCATGTAATACAATCATTGTCATAAATCAAGTCTCACCTTAAAACTCATTAAATCTATCATTCCTCCCCATTCAGGTACTTCAGTACAGATATACTTCAGAACTTGGCTCTTTCTCATAGGCAGGGTATTTCCTCTAGTTACTAGCCTGAGGGTAACCCAATCAGCTCCTAACCTTTTGTCCCTCTGTCAACACACAGGATAAGAGAGATGAACCAAGTATCCCTCCCTAACTTGGCACTTGTTCTCACTTACAATAATGCAGAGCAATCACATCTCCCTTCAGATTTCAGCTAAATAAGGCATAAAGTTGCAAGTTTCCCAGTCTGCTCTCAAAAAGTTAATGTCATTAACTTAATTGCCCTTTCTGACCATCCCTATCTTTCCACCTGTGCTAGTTCAGCTTTTCTCTGTTAAGCAAGGCAGCCAGAATTGGAAATCGGAAAAAGTTCTCACACAGTCTTCGCACAATGTCAGTCATGTTTCTGTTGCACATTACAGGGAATCTCTCTCCTAATAGGTGCTACAACACTAACACACTTTCACCCAATTTGCCATCATTGTCTAAAATAGCAAGGACTTTCTCCTCTTCAGTCATCATTTCAGGCAGTAAGCTTCTAGTTTTTGTTACTGGTTCTCTCTTTATACCTCCATATTTTGAACCAATACACCCCATTAGTTTTTCTTCAGTCCTCAAGGTCACACGTTTCAACTGTGTTCAACTCTATCATCTGAAAATTAACTACCATGTGGTTACTTCTTGTGCCATTTCAAACCAGCCCTTGAAAAAAATCCACCAGAAGTAAGACCTCTTCCAAGACAATACTTCTTCTAGCACTATTTTTTGCACTTACCACTTTGGGCTTTTCATGGATCATACAATTTTCCCAAAATTCTCACATACACCAACATTTTAACAGCAATGATGGTTTCAAAGGAGCTGTGAAATCTACCAACAAACCAGAAAGAACTTTGTCCTTAACAAAACTTAAAACAAACTATATTTCAAAAAAAAAAAAAAAAAAAAAAG